TAGCAAAAAAACATTAATTAGTTCTTTACAGCTGCAGAAGTAATTGAACTTCTTACTGATTCCATTTAAATTTGAAATTTTAATAGGTAACTTATATTACCACATTATGAACAAAATACTCAAAGATTTTAATTTTGCCATGAAGAAAATATTTTTGAAGATATATTTTACTTTTATAGGAAATAAAATTTATTTTCATCAGAAAATTGTTCAATTTTAAAATTTATTCACCACACGTTTTTACTGAATGTTTTAATATTATAAAGTTAACTGGTATAAACATTTCTCTGTTTGCTGAATATACCGTCAAAATTAGCTCACTTGGAGCAAAAAAAAAATTCTAAACTTTTTACATAAATAGTAAAATTTCCTCTTTATAATATATCCTAAATTTCATTTCGACCAAATAATGCGAAATCAAGTTTAATATAACCCACGGGCGGTTCTGCATGTAAAAAGTCGTATTTTAACCTGCAGTCTTCTCCGCATAGAAAAACGGGCTTTTCCATGTTAATGAATAAGGGAATAATGTATAGAGGAGAAACATTCTCCCAATTTTGCCCATTCGCTAAGCCACTAGTGGGTTAATTATACATAAATATGTACAATGTGCGTGAAATAAAAAAAAAACAAAATTCAATCTAATGATTGAAACTTCATGCAAGAACTCAATCTTTAATGGTTCCAGGGATGACCTTGAATATGCAGAATCGTAAAGCTGGGAATTTTTTGTTGGATAAAAATTTTTGGACTCTACACAAATTTTTTGATTCGCATAAATAACCAGTTACCTGACTAAACTATCAATGTTTTGAGGGTCAGAAATCTGAACTGAATCCACCAAAAAAAAAAAGGCTATTATTCAGAGAAGGTACATTTTTGTGTTTGATTTCGTATCTTAAAATATCGTCTGAACCAATTAGCATATTTGAGATCACTCCTCAAACCTAAAGTTGAGCCCTAGAACCTTAAGATCCCATCATTACATCAAGAGTAATACAGGATGATTCAGTTTCTCTTTGTACTCTACAATCTATAAATATTTCGCAGATTAATTAACTTTTAAAACAGCAAATCAAATAGGAACTTAATCATTCACTCATCTTGGAAATCATCCATTAGCTGTGTACCAGATGAAAATCAACAAGTTAAATCATCATAAGCTGAGCAATACTCCAATGCATAAATAAAGTAAATAGTAGTAATTTTTCCACCTAGTTTTAAAATTTCTATTAACAACAATTAGGAAACAAATTTTGAAAACGTATTTTATTATCTAATTATTATATCGTAAATAACATTAAGTTTCCTTCCTTTTAAGCACTTTAAAAACTTAAGTGGCTATTTTGTTGCAGGGATTTTCCTGGTACCCAGCTAAAAGATGAGTACTATCATTTTACGATAAGTGGAATTAGGAAAATTGATATAATATAAAAGAATGTTATAATGCCATAAATGTAAGTATGGATGTGACGCTAGAGAAAAAGTAAATACAATGGCTAGGCTACAAGATAAAAAATATGTGACACTATGTGGTTCTCTTCGATAATAAGTTAAGTAGCAAAAGTAGTGCAATGTCTAAAATACATTTGTACTTTACAAAAATAAGTAGCAAAATTTGATTTCCATTAGTTTAAAGGAATAAGGAAGTATAAAGGAAAGCTTAAATATGAATATCTAACTGGAAGTGGATAGCTCAGAAATGGTATCTAACTGGAAGTGGATAGCTCAGAAATGGACATAATTTATTAAATTTTTTATATAAAAAATACATAATAAAAGTTGATTCAAGCAAAATATTTGATCTTTTCTAACTTTCCTGAGTAGCAAAAAGTTTCTCATTTAAATATTTCCAGTGTAAAATATTACAAAGTGCAATTAACTACAAATAAAATTTATACCTACATATCTGCCCACTTATATAGCAGAATGTACATTTTTACGGGGCTGATCATCTGAAAATAACCATTCAGCTGATATTTTCGTACAATATCTTTAGCAGAATTAAAGCATGTAGTTAAATAACTCTTCAAAATTATAGAATAATTAATGAAAGTGGAGAGATATTTTTAAAACCAATCTAAATATGCAATCAAAGCTCACGGGAACGATTTATTTTCTAATATTCATTTCTCTATATATCATGAAAAGATAATTGTCCACTTTTACAAAGGAACCAAAAATTAAATTCAAATAAATCATTTGTTTATAAAGTTACAATGGTAACTGAGGAAATTGATTAAGTGTAAAGTTTGTCCTTATAGAATAGGAAGATAAATCTGTAAAACTAAATCTATGTTCAGTAATTGTAATGTAATCTATGCTATGTAATAGTGAATGTTGATGAATAAAGCAAGCAAGGGCCTTAGTCTCCTAATCTTTTAGACATGTAATTGTGAATGTCGGTGAATAAAGCAAGCTAGGGCCTTAGTCTCCTTATCTTTCAGACAGTAAGATTGAGTGGTAGTAAGCATTCTACTAGTATCAGAAATATAATTTAAATATATTGATAAACTAAACTATTAAACTTTAAATGATAACTACTTTAATGAAATATTATTAACATTATTGAAAGCTGTTCATTTAAGCATATAAAAATTCTAAATGTAAAATATAATTGTAACAAATAAACCAAACGGTACTTGTAATATTTAGATGTTTTATTTTCTTGAATAAATAGTACCGCAGTGGGCTGATCATAAGGAACTGAGGGTGTACAGCAGTGTTTCCCTAACTTATGACTTTTGTGTACCCTTTCTAAATTTTTGGTAACGCTGTGTGCCACTAATTAAAAAATTAATGTAATTTTACCATAAAAAAATTGCACAAAAGTTAAAAATCACAACTGGCTGTTGACACCACTAATTATTTACTCTTAACTCTGCAAAAAATTGCCTTTAGAAAAATACGTAATAATCGTAAATTTTCATGGCTAGCTTTGTTTTTAAATAAAAGTTTTTGAAATTTTCGTTTGTTGTACAGGGTTCCCACTCTATGATGAGATTGAAATTCAAGGACTTTCCAGGACTTTTCAAGGACCTCAACAAAATTTTCAAGGACCTTAATCTAAGACCAATTTTAAAAATTATTCTCTTCTATTTTANTGAATTTATTTTTACTATAAAAAAATTGCACAAAAGTTAAAAATCACAACTGGCTGTTGACACCACTAATTATTTACTGTTAACTCTGCAAAAAATAGCCTATAGAAAAATACATAATAATCGTAAATCTTCATGGCTAGCTTTGTTTTTAAATAAAATTTTCGTTTGTTGTAAGATACTTCGCATAAGAACGCGTAGCCCCGCTAAACTGTTCCTGTACCCTTGGATGTACACGTACTACACTTTGGGGAACACTGGTGTACAGAATCTGTTCCTTGTTAAACCGTTCTACCATAGAGTGCTCAACTTGGCTCAGGTAGTCGGGCTACCAATGCAGGGGAGCCATCCCCTCTGCAGAGGATCGAAATTGTAATGGCAAGTCTTCGGATCATCCTCAAGGATGCACCAGACCTTAAGCAATAGCCCACTGTGTAAATCTAGTGCGACGTAAATAAATTACCTACCTCTTGAATAAATAATAATAAATGCAAATTCTCAAGGAAAATAAAGAAAATATCAAATATTTCACTTTTATCAATCAAATCATTGCACAATTAGGTAGGATACACAAACTTGAAAGACAGATCATCACATTTTATCAGGCTTTATAATTAATTTGGACCTGATTAAAATAAATTGTCAGTTAATATGGTTATGGTACATAAAATTTTATATACCAGATGAATGGGAAATAAGGGCTTTGAGCACTATTCTTATACTTTGAATAATTATTATGAAGCAACTAGACAAAAGAATAGATGAAAACAAATAGAAATGAGACTGCATAGTTATTAATATATAGAGAAACAGTTTATAATAATAAATATTTTGTGTTAACAAAACAATTGAAAAATATATATAGCTTATAAGAATATTTTTAATCGATTATTAATTTCTAAGTTCCTATCATAAATAAAGGTTGCATCTTGTAATTTTTTGTTCTGAATTGTTTAAAAGCTTTTTTAATTACATGAAACATTATTTTACATTTTCTTTAAATGTTTTCATACACAATAGAAATTTAGAATTTATACCTTTTAAAATGTATAATAATCAAGTTAAAATTAGCAACAATTATTTTCTGCAAATATTACCTTCTGAAAGCAAATGAACTTTTAGAAGCACACAAATTTTTGCTGATGTCAAAATTAAAAATGACTGTTATTTAGAGCAACGGATGCATCACAAAAATTAGACATGATTTAGTAACTTGTCAAAATATTATGTTACTTTTGAAATAGTTACAGTTACAAACTAATGATTTTAAAAACAGTCATTAGTTACAAGAGCAATAACGGAGAAATTAATTTATCTATACTGTCAAGCATTTAATGTGTAATTTTAAAATTATAACACTCATTATTTGTTGAATGATTGCATCAGCTGGAAAATAACTAAAGAATGGATAAACTATTTATACTAATAAAAAATACTAATCAAGTGACATCAATGATGACAATTGTGGAACTCATAAAATATTAGCCGGAAATGTAACTCTTATTTTCAGAATTGATTAAAAAAAGTTTTGTTTTTTAAACCTATGTTGATTATGAATTTAGCTAATGGAACAAACATTATAAAATATAACTTATGATACAGTGCACATTTAAATTGAAAGTATTAAATTACTCGCATAATAAAAGCATATAAATAAACAAATTTAAACTAAAAAATAATAATAATAAACTAGCACTATATGTAATTATACTGTTGAATGTATATTTTAAAATAAATACAATGTGTCAATCTTATTCAAACACAAATATAATATACCAACTCAAAATATGTCATAAATACATCTTAAACAGCATACATAACTAAATTTAATACTTAATTCAGAAAAAAGATAAATACTTTTACTTTAACTAACACAAAATCAATAACAATAACATAACCATTCAAAAACAAACATATGTTTTACAATAAACAATCATAAGTAAATTTCGGCAATGAAGAGAAAAGAAAAAGACTACACATTAGTCCATATGCCTCCATTTGTGGAAAGTTCAAAATAGCTGCATAATCTGAACACTTACGTCATGGTATGATAACTATGTATTTTTCAAAACCGAAAATATTTGAGCATAAATGAAAATTATTATACTTTTTGTAAATAAAATAGGTGTCTCAAGGATACACGATGCCCTGGCTTTCTACATTTTAACACCTCTGTTACTTTGGCTTCAGCGAATTTCGCCTTTTCTCAACGTTAGTAAATTCCAACTTCTTCTTAAAATGTACTGTCGTAAGGAGAAAGTAAAATTTTCCAAAACCATGCTAATAGAGAGGGGAAAAGCGAAGAGATAATATAAATTCTGTAGACTTGAGACACCTATCCCATTTTCAAAGAAAACAGATTGGACAAGGAAATGACATTATTTAAAATAATTAAAAAAATGTTTGAAACAAAAGATGTTAAGAAATGTTACATTGAAATTCGTTGTAAGTTTATCGATGGATAACTTAGAAAAGAAGACTTGGAGAGAAAATTTCAAAATATATGACATTTCAATTACACAATCAAGTGTTAAATAGATTTCATATTTATATTAAACCTGAGCAAAGAAATTGTGACAGTAATCAATGAAGAATAGATAGCATTTAAATGAAGACTATCTTAATTTATATATTAAAACCTGCTAGATGGGGATAGAATAGTATTTGGCACATCGAAAATAAATCATCCATCTTCATCACCAGGTTTAAGGCATGCTATACAGAATCCTTCACTTGAGCAAGCCGTATGATAGGAATGTCCTGTTCACAGATATAAACAGATTTAGTCATTTTAACAATGTGTTATAAAAATCATGAGAAAAATATAAAACTTTTTGAATATAGTAAACATGTTTAAAAGTTTAACATTTGTAAATATTGTTCATTAGCTTACTACAAGACAATGCAACCATTTTTGAATGGTGGATTCTAAAAACTAGAAAATACTATGAAGAGTGCCAACAAAAGCAATCATAAAAATGTAGTTTGTATTTAGACTATCTGAAATTAATAGGTATAACCTAATAAATGAATTTTTTTTTACTAGGGTGCAAATTATCAGATTAATGCAAATTGTGTTTGAAATTCTGAAAGTAATTTTTTTTAAATTCTTCTTTTTCTAATTTGCTTGTATAATTCTGAAAGAAACAACACTTCATTGTAAGTACTATATCCATTGCCACAAATAAAACTTGTAAAATGAAATGAATACAATCAGTCTGACCAAAACAAAACTAGATCTGAAATTTAAGGTCAAAGCTGAGAAAGATTTTTCTGATATTTGCTTTTTAATATTAACAATAGTTTAGAAGCCATGTTGAAAGTTTTCAAGGGCCATTTTTGGCATACAGACCATTGACTGCATATCCCTGGTTTACTAAATTCGGTGCATTTTCGAAAGGAAAACTAAAACTTATTTCAAATATCAAAGATTATTTAGAGGTAAATAAAAAAATTGGTCACTAAACATCTTACAACTGTTTGCAACTTTAGCTCTGGACTGCATACAGAGAACATTTTCTTATAATAAGAGGAATTTCATAGTAGAGTCAATACATTTCAACTCCTTCTTTGCTTAAAGAACAGATTGGTTTGGTTTCGAATTTCAGTTTTGCCAGTATGTCAATTTATTTTTGAATAGTAAAGTTTGGACAAACTAATTCAGCAATTTCACAGACATGGATTGTGCATAATTATAAATGTTATTGAATCCCTGCAAAATTCACATACAAAAGTACAAAATTGATATAATAATTTCAAATAAAAAAATATAAATAAAAACAAAATATATCATAACTTACCGCATCTATAAACTGTGACTCCCCCTTGAGAAGAAGATAAATGTGAAGTCAGTGGCATTTTACAAGCTTTACAGACAGTCTTTAAGGATATTTTAATGCCCCAATGACTTTCTGGTTCTTCTAAATAAGAATGAGTAGCCCTTCTGAAATCTTTCACCTAATAAATTAGTTACTATTAGTATCAATCAATAATTTCAATGATTGTAAACTAAAAAACCTTTGGGGGGAAAACTTTAAAAAACAAAGTTTGAAATTTGTGCCAATTTTAGACATATATGAGACCAAGCTCAAAAATATACTCTCCTATTTTTATAAAAAGAAAAAAATAGTAATAACTTACTTCAGGAACTTTATCATTTTATTTTGTCTTCTAAATTTAATTATATTTCATTCTGTTCTCAAAATTAAGCGAATTTTACGTAAGAAACTTTTATTTATTTTACTTTTATACATAAAATTTTTTTTTCATCTTTCGATTCTGTTTTTAATAATAAGGATCATTTTGAAGAAAACTTCTTTGAGGATTAAAAATAGCTTTAAAAAATTGTAAAACAGATTTTCTTCTTTAACCCTTTGACACAGAAATTGCATCAAACAAATTTTTCATGTTTCTGTATTAATTTAAGTCAAAATAAATGAAAAATATTAAATTCAGCATTTTAAAAATTTTTTGTTTTGAAATCGTTCAATCAGACACCACTGTCCCTTTTTCGGTTAAAAGTAAAATTTTTTGATTATGGTTAAATTGCAAACAATAATTTTTCAAATTTGCACTAATTTAGATTTAATAGAAACAGTAATTCATTTTGAACTTTCTTTAATTCAGAAAATTAATTATTAATACATTTCGGAATCTGGATGAAACAAAAATTCAAACTAGTTTTTTTGGATTTTACACTTTAGAAAAAATTCAATTCCGAAAATCTAATAGATTTTTTTAATAACTATTAGACTGTTTTTTATAATTAAAACATACCAAAATATACTTTTACTTTTAATAAGTGCATCAGAAAAAAATATATAAAGGACAGTGGTGCCCTAAGGTTTAAAAGCCAGCAGTTCAAAAAGTAAAACTCCATAGAAATGGTAATTTTAAATAAGTTTAACTTTTATTATTTACTTTACAAATACAAATGATTGCTAACAAGTAACAAAAAAATTACCTTTGTTTTAGGATTAGTAGAAGCACTCGGTTTCTCTTTCTCCTTCAGAAACACTTGCCGTAACTGAAAATTTTGAGCAAATAATTAAAATTCTAAAAGAACCATTGTAAGCAAAGATGTTTCAACATCAATGAAAATTTTCTTACTTCAGGTGATAAACTTTTTAGCTTTCTAGACCAGAGATAGCTTCCAACAGTCGCTAACGTAGTTTGCTTTAAGGCACTACAAAAATTATATTATATAAGTTGTTATAGTTCGATTTAGTAGAATAAAACAAACTATGATATAAGATTGACTTGACTTTTATTGTAGAAATCAAATATCTTTCACAAACTTTATGCAATTAAAATGAAAGGAATAAAGTGGCTAATCAAAGCACAACACAAATCATAGCTGGATAAATACATACATAAACAACTTTATTTCAGAGTGCAATTGTCACAAAAAAAGCTGCTCATGTGTGTGTTGTTTGCTAGATAATGATGCTTGATTAGCAGTCTTTTTATTGCATTCTTAATATTTTTGAACAACAAAGTTTTTTTTAAAATCAAAGCAACTGTTAACAAATGTTTTTCATTTTATAAATTGATCACAAAGTTTAGGTGTTATTTTTTAAAGATTTAATTAACCTGTTATTGTTAACAAGACATGGCAAGATTACCTGTTATTGTTAACAGGACAAGACATCAACTCATCTTTAGATTTCAGAATCTGGTTCAGCAAGAAATTATGCACAAAGTTTAATGCAATGAACAAGGACTGATTTTTCAATAAAATTTTTTATTATAAGTTAAAGTAAAGCAGGTACTTCATCTTAATGAAGCTATGTTTATAAATACTCATTCCATCATTCAACCATGGTCAAGCAGTTAGCCCTACTTTTGGGCTCTATATTTTAATGGTCATGGTAAGAAAGCCACCTAATTTTGAAACTAGTCAGACAACCTGTCTGAGCTGGTACGTTTACTTACAAACTTCTACACCACTACTACGAGAGGACTCCAGCCATAACAGATTTAAAGTGCACTTTGCTGTGTATACATGCCGGTCATTTTTCGGCTGCCAAGATTGCAATTATGACATCAACTCTCAACCAACGGTAAAAGCGACACGATAACAGACTGAGCCGACCGCAACCCTATATGTTTTCTTCCTATAGATACTTATGCTCATGACGTCAAATAAAGTAGTTCATTAAAATGGTCTTACGACAAAACTATTAATAATTATTATTTATTTTTTTAAAGTTCGTACTTGATTTATTTAGAAGAAAAATTTAAACTCAATTTAAAAATAAATTGAAATTTGTATAAATCAATTTAGTGATCTCAATTCATTAACAGACAATAAAAAATTTCCATTTCAGCAAGTGAAAAGTATCCTAATTAACCTCAATGACACTGGTTTACAACATTGCTATTAAACAAATTACAATACATTATAATTACACAGATTACTTTGCTATACAATTTCAATAGAACATAATATTATTTTCATTTAAGACAATATAAAATTACAGATATTTTTATTAATCGAAGAATAATTTATGATAATTTTAACTATTTTTTAATGTTTACCTCTGTTTTTTATTAATAACGAAAGACTTCATGACAGACTGGTAGAAGGCTGGTGTTAAAGCTCCATTAGGAATACTTAAGCCCCTCAATATTTCTAATACTTTGATTGAATCAAGACTGGATAAGGCAGTGGTAGAAATTGTTTCCCATGTCAAAGTACACTTCCATTTTTCATCTTCACAGGGATTCTGACAAAATTCTGTAGAACTACTGTATTCTAAATCACACATGAGACAGTTTACAGACTCGTTTTTAACAGATGATTGTGCAAAAAGAGCAAAAAACTCTTGCCATTCTTCAGGACTGGACGGGAAGTAACCTACGAAAACGAGAAGCAACCGTAAAATTATTAACAAATGATTTTTACTTTTTAAATGAAGGTATATAGTTAAGAATTTTGCCGTAATTAAAAATCTTATATAGATAAATGATTAGGGTTCAAGCCAGTAATAAAATTTTAGTGATCCAAAAGGACTGTTTATGTTTTAGAGGTTCATAAAATATAACAGGGTAGATTGATGTTCAACTTTTTTAACTATCATTTAAATATAATTAATGACAAATACTCAAAAAACATGTCTTTTAATATGATTTTGGCAATATTTGTAAATGACTTGATGAGAATCATACACAGTTGTGTGAACCCTCTAAATCATATATTTCATATCACACATATTTTTTTGATAATACTAAAGTTAAAAAGAAATATTGTTGATATCTGTATATATGTACTGTGCATCAATTTATGAAAGCACATGTTCTGCACATTTAAGATTTGTTCAATACAAACTTTTAAACTTATTTTTATTGTAATAATTTATAGCCATAACTATAAAATATTACATGCTACAAAAAGATTTATGCAACAACCATTTCTTACTTTAGTTTATAACGAGTATAACTTTTTAAGAAATATTCAGTACAATTTACGTTAAGTATTTTTTATTTTATTATAAAAAAAAATAAAAAAAACTTTTAACATATTGATGATAAATATTGATATGATAAATGTTGCAATTCTTATAAGGCAGATTAGAACTTTGTTTTTCAAGAAAACATTTTAAATTAAATATGATTGCATGGAAAAACTTTCTAATAATGTTACTTAAAAACTTATTTTACCTAACAATACAGAGATTAAAAATAACTATAATAGAGGTTACCAACCTTTTGGGTAAGAGAACTTTCAAAAGAAGAAAATATATGTGTGCCATTTCTAAGTTTTAGATTATACTTATTTTGAATATTTTTAATGTAATGTATAGTTAAGATAAGCGTACCTGTGCTGCTATTGATGTCAATAAGACTAACATCACCCAATTGAATGACTAGTTTTCTGTGAGTATCTTTCAAGCTTAATTTCTTAACCAATGACAAAGATCCTAACCAAAATCTGAAAAAAGAAATATAAATATTAAATATGTGCTAAAGCAGATTATTTTTTAAATGCCTTTAACAGACTGAAATGTATGAATAATAAATAAGTTTCAAATCGTACAGTTAATATAAAATATTGTAAGTTAAAAATTATTATTTTAAGTATGCTTCTGTCTCAGACTTATAGAGAAAACATGGAAAATAATGAAGATTATTCAAAAGAGTAGAAGAAAAATTATTGAAATAATATATATATATATATATATATATATATACACACACACACACATATATATATATATTTTAAAAAGAAGAAAAATGTAAAAAAATATATATTAAAAAGCTGAAACAAAAACCACACAAAATGATTTATTATTTTTTTAAAAAATTATTTTATTTTAATAATTTTTCTTCTACTATTTTCATTAATCTTTATTATTTTCTATGTGTTCTTTATATTTTTAATTTATTTTATGAGTTTTATATACTTGCAGCTTGTGCGCAGTAAACAAAACTAATTTATTTTCTTAATTTTCCTCGTTTTTCTCTTTTGATTCTTTTCATCTTTATCGTGCTATATATATGTATATTATACATATATATGCTTGAAACTTTTGTGAAATACAGTGTAATGATAAAAAAACATTTAGTAAACATAATCAAAATTAAACTGTAATAACATACCCAACAGAAAAGCATTTCTCTTGCAGTAAGTCAATGTCTAGTTCTTTAGAAGTAGTAAGGACATGCAAAAGTAGTTCAGAATACTTCCATGAATGAAGATGTGATCCAGGTCTAAAGAAGCAAGCATTTCATTTCATAACTATTTACGTAAAATTAATTTTTAAATAATTTGAATAAAGAAAAGATACATTACATAAATAGAAAGGCTTAAAAAAAAAAAATTTGCTGGAAACTAGGTATTATCTCTATATTTTTTGTGTTCATGTTAAAATGAAACCATCTTCTCTTTTTGCAATGATTTAGAATTTATTTAGTGAATGCTGTTAACATATATTTTAACAAATGAAGAAAATATCTGGGCACAAAAGTTATCCTATAAAGGTTTTAAAAGGTTTATCCTTTATAAAAAATATGACTAATTTTAATTATTTTGAAATATTTTTACAATTTTTACTGATAATTTATAATACTAGTCAATCAACATAATAATTGAATATCAACACAGGTCATTAAATAATATTTTCTAATGCAATCAGCGTCAAGCCAATCGAGATTTGTGCACGAAAGACAAAATATTAACCTAAAAAATTAATAATAAGAACCTTGGCCAGCCACAGCTGCACTTCAAGCTTTCTGAAGTTTTCACATCAATTTGAAGAGCTCCATCAATCCATTCTAAGCATACTTCCTTCAAATGTAGTAATTTTTCCAAAATTTTCGGCCTAAGAAAAAAATTATATATTATAATAGTTAAAAATTTACATTTAAGGAATTTCAGAAATAAAGAACTTAAATACATAATAAATCATTTCTCAGTTAAATTAAACATTACTGTTCAAAATTTCAAAGAATATCATAGTTTATAAATGGAAACATAGAAATTTTTGATTGAAACTGGCAAATAGTAGATGTTTATTTTACTAACAAAGGCAAAAATAAAGAAAAGCGACTTCAATTTGGGTAAATGTTTTCTCCTTAACATTAAATTTAAACAATAAACAAATCATTTACTCAAACAAGATATCAAATTGAAAGCTCATCAAATTGCTTAAATAGATCTATTATATTTATATTTCTACTCTTAATGGTCTTTAAAACTGAAAATACTATTAATTTCTTATTCAAAGAAGATATTCTACATCCATGGTACAATATCATCTTTGAATAAGGAATATCTATGTATTCAAAGCATCTATATATATATGAGCTTCAATCCTGCACAAACTTAAAATCCTCTGACGACTGTGTGAAGTCCCTTCTCACGTTGGGGTTCTGGGCAATGATATCACCGACACTCTGGCTAAGGAGGGGACAGAAGAAACTTTGATGAGTCCAAATTCACTCACCTTCATGGAACGGGCATCAAAAAAGAAGACAATGTCTCCTGGCTCGTACCCCCCAAACATCACTGGTACCAGAGCACCCGTCCAGGAGGTGCACTCAACATTCGGCGCAACCGCAAGGATCAGACTGCGCTTACCAGCGGCCACCTTAAGTCTCTTTCTTTCGAGGGTAGTGTTAAAATCTTCCCCAACTTCCCTAGGTGCCACAACATGCAGGCTTCTCCCCAACATATCCTGGACTGTCTTGGACTGGACAAGAGGGACATTCTAGAAAACCCACTTTTGGTGGCCGACTTCCTCCGGGTCATGAATTTCATGGACATTGTTTAGCCCTGCTAATTTTGGGGATTAGGAAGAAGAAGAATATATATATAATATCTGTACATTCAACATATATATATTCAAATATATAATATCTATCTTTTTGGAAATTCTAATAAGCATTACATTTAACTATTATAAAACGCTGACAGATTACTACATAACAAATAAGACTTAATGAAACACATTTGGCTTATAAATTAGGGCTAACATACCTTTGTACTGCAGGAAGACAGTCTAAAATTCGTGATATATATTCAAAGAATGGTTTTGGGTGATTTCCAGAAGACTTTGATAAATATAGAACATCCAGAGGAGTAATATGGTAGCTTCTTTGTAAACATAATTCAACAGCTCTGGTACTGTTTACTTTAAAAATCCTGTAAAATAAAAATGAAATTAATTTATTTTAATGACAAATCTGCCAATAAAAATTAATTAAGTAAAAATATTTTACTATGCTTTAGTTTAACATATATTTGTAACACAGTTGAATCTTGTTAATAAAAGAAACAAAAAGCATCAACATTTTGTTTGGATGCATGTATAATATTCAAGACTATACAAGAAGCAAATTTTTATTTGATGGAAAAAAGTGACATTAATTATCTTATCTTATTGGAAATTTGAACCTGTCATTCATCTTTTTTTGGTTAATATACTTTTAGCTACCAACATGGATAGGAAAAAATCTAGTTGAGTTCACGAAATAATTTAAATTTCATGATAACTGTTACTTAATATACTAAATATTTACATATAGGGAATTGTAGGGACTTTTATTGTCATCAAAATACAAAAACTTTATTACACTAATGACTATAAATGGTCTGCAATATTTTTCATTTATGATAGACATTAAATTAACTTGAAATGCTTTTTTTCCTATTATGTTAACTCATTTTGAATAGTAATAGACTAGTAATTTATTATTGATAGTTAAAAGATTTTTTAATTAATCCAAAAAGGGTGTTTGAATATAAATGAACTAAAAATTGAAAAAAAAAACTTTAAACTGATTACTATGAATGCACATTGCTTTATTATGCATCAGTAATACTTATTTAAATATAAAAGCAAACAATAAATTGTGTATTAATTCTATTTTAATACAGATTTTTTTAGGAAATTTTCTCAATCTTAGGGAATTTTCTAAAATGTACAAAATCCAGGATAATTTTTCTTATACCAGTAGCCCAGGAGAAACTGGAAAATCCAGTAATATAACGCTCAATTCACTAGAGTTGGCAGCAATGTAAATGGGATATAGTAGTCTTTGTAATGCTTAGTGGTTAGCTTTGCTGATAGAATTTATGAGAATACATATTTAGGTTAAGAAGAAATAAATTAAATTTCAAGAGACTAAATGTTTGAAGCAAGGAGATACTTAAAATACATTGGATGGTTCTAAAACGTTATAAAGGTTAACCTCTCATAAAACAAATTTTTTTTCAATGGACAATCATAATTTAAAGCTTACTTTAGGAGGTGGGAGATCAAAACAGGACCTAAATAACTTCGTTCAAGGCAACTGGCAGCTGCATCAATCTGTTCTGTGGCTAGTTTTTTTGTGAAATCATCTGGTCCATTCAGTAAAGATACACCAGAAAGCATAACACTCCATGTTTTGATGCAAGGAAGATTGAAGACATTTAAAAATTCTCTAAGTTTTTGGACATCAAATAAATGAAAATAATTTTGTACAAAAGCAGCTGACTGAGAGTCATTATCATCTAAATGGCACAAACTATTATGACTAGACGTGGAGCAATCATTGTCAGTGACTGTAATATCACCATTTGTAAGACTCTTTCCCGGATCACTAAATTGGTTAGACAAGGATTTCTTTGTGATTGGCATTTCACTATTTGGGAACAAAGGTGATTTTTGTAAGGAATGAGCACTTTCAGATTGTCTTAAATGACTAGATGAGCGATGACCGTCAGAAAATTCTTGGCTAACACGAGTTTCGTGTTCCTTCTTATCATTCTTCAGAGCTTCCTCAATTCTATCCTTAACCTTTAAAATAGCTGAACACACATCAATTACTTCTTGGATTTTACCCCAAATTTTCATTTGAAAGCACATTATAGCCAGCTCTGATATCATATGGCGATCTTCAACAGTCAAATGGAATGGATCATAAACAAACACAAAGTCTTCTAAGTTCACTAATTTAACAAGAACACTTTCAGTTCTTAATGTACTCGAATCAGAAATTTCTATGTTGCCGGAATGAGTGGATTCTACATGTTTATCATCCTCATATGATTTAGAATCAGAAACAGAAGGATCTTCTTGTTCCAAACGATCACTTATCTCACAGTTCTCACTAGGTGATGAATCTTGACTAGTAATTTGGCTACATGTACTTCTGAGAGTATCATCTTCTCGATAGGAATGACCACTAGGGTTATGATAATTTTGAATGAATGTAATAACAGCTTTAATAACTGCAATTTGAGATGAATGAAGTACATTGACCCAAACTTCTAGCACCTCATTCAAACGGCTGACATCACAAAGGACATTTAAATCTCTAGTCAGCAACCTGAAATAAAATAAAATGAGTATTATTATACAACTTAAATTTACCAATGCTTTACTCTGTTAAAAAATACATGTAACAAAATTTAATTGTGCACTCCAATGAGTTAAGATAAAGCTTTTTTTTTTCTTTCAAAATTTGAAATTATACGTCAGTAAAAATTTATCAATGTGATCACACATATTTTAAAAAAAATATTTTTTTGTCATATTGAAAAACACTAAGGTTTTCAAGATGGGTAAAAAAAGTCTTTTTTCTAAGTATAAATATATAACTAATTTCAGATTTTAAATTCAAAAATATAAAGTAACGAAAAAATAAGAAGAAACATTCAGGTTGTTGAGAATCTATATATGAAAACCACTAAAAAATTGGAAATCTATTGAAAATTGATTGAGGTTTTCGAGTAATTTACTGGAAATTACATCTCATAGAATTTATTTTTATTGTAACTTTACTTTCAAAACTTAACATTTTTGAACTTGAAAACTAAAATTTGCTTTACATTTACGTTTTTTAAAATTTATAATTTATGTTTTTGACCTCCTAAAACTATGAACAAACTATTTTTTTTATTTGATTAACAATTTTCTTTTGTAAATATAAGTGTATTTATATGAGTAACTATGAGTAAACAGTGTAATTTGTAATTGTCGCCCTATTATGCTAAGGAATAATATTTATAAGTCAATAACTACTAGTTAATACATAATTTTCTGGTGCACTAATATTAAGTATCTATACTTTTTTTTCCATCTTAATTTAGAATTCTACTAACAAGTTTAGAACATTAAAAAAAAAAAACATTAAATTAATGTAAGATAAATTTTATACTCATTTCATTAATTGTTATTAAAATTTATATATTTAATTTAGTACACATAAACAAATCTCTTTCAGAATGTAATATTTTAACAATAAAAGTAATTTTTAAATTGGGTCAAACTTTCAATAAAAGAACTTGCAGAAAGTAAAACTTCCAACATGGACATTTTTTTTTATTATTATAAATACAAGAAAAAAAGTTCATCAAATGCATTGTTTTTAACAAGAAATGTAAACTTATTTGCAAGAATAGAAGATAAGTAAGTTCTAACTAACTAAATGTTAGATAAAACTAATTCAATTATTTTAATGTGCACATGTTGCATAAATATTTACTGAAATTAAATTGTAACTCAAAAAACTATCACTATACCCTATAAGGATAAGACTATTCATGTTAAAATTTTTTGAACAATTCATTTCCTTAGGAATTTACAAATGGTTTATATTTAAGAATGTAACAAATAGAGATTTAGCCAAAAATTTTTAATAAATATTATTTTTTTATAGAAATAAATTTAGTCTTTATTGAATAATAATCAAAGCATAGCTGTAGTATTGGTATTAGGTAAAGGGAAATTTTTTTTAATAGAAATGTTTAAGATAATTAGAAATAGTTAAGATAGAACAAAAACTGACAAACAGCTAATAAATAAAATTATAGTTAAGTTAAAAATAATATTCTCCAGAAGAAAAAAAATTTAAATGCTGTCATAATAAAAATGCTGAAAAAAAAGAAAAGAGAAACAGAAAAAAAAATTGTTTTTAGTTATGAAATATAACTTTAATGATGAGAATCACAGTTCTCAATGTTACTATCGACCTGTCTTTCGGTACAAGAAAAAATGACAATAAAAGAATAAAGTTTATTAGAAACACTCCGTTAACATGCTTTGCTTTAGTCAAAACAGAAAATTAGCAAAATTGGAGAAAAAAAATTATCAATTTTTAAAACATGAAGTGGATAAAAATACTATGAAATTTGACTTGCCTAAATATAATTAAAAAGAGAAAAAAATCAACATTACAAAACTCATAGTACAGTAAAAAGTAATTTAAATTCAATTTTGTAATTTAAAATACAGTACAGTAAAAGTAATTTAAATTTGCTTTTTTCATGCATCTTTCAGAACATAATTTAACAAGTCTTAGAACTTAACAAATATATGTAAAAACTATTTCTAATAATGTATAGTAAAAAATAAAATTTTATATTATTTTTGATTAGATCTATTAAAATTTCCTCCCCCAAAAAAACTTTGTTGAAAAATAATTTTCCGCATAATACTACACTGAATACCTAGAATTTAACAAATTTAATAAATATTCAATTTGGCCAAATATTCAGTCAACAGAATATTAGGCAAAAGGGCTGAATACTGAATAGTGGTTGAATACTTGTTACATCCTTACTTATATATTTTAAAAGAATAAATAATCATAAAAATTTGTTGACAAAGATTTTAATAAATAACCTTCTAAAATGAATAAACTTTCTGTGCGTAAAATATTAAGTATTTTAAAATAATTACTTACAATTTGATTCAGAATAAAATCTTAATATTAAAATAATTAAATTGTTTATACTTTAATGGTACGAACACTTTCAAATAGTTAAAATTTGAAAAATAAAATAAATTAAACAGTGCTGTTCCAAATTACCAATGTGTCGTAACTGTTAATTTCGTGCAAAATGAAACTTACCAGGTACTTTTAGAAGCTTCTAGCAGTTGGGAGATATCTACAGGTGGTAAAAAGGACCAAAAGTTTTTATCGGCTGACTGAAATTCAGATGAGCTCTTTTCTGTGTCCATCTCTATAATAAAAATAAACAAATGAATAAAAAATAAACATATAAATAAAAATATTAACATTTTGAAATCTTATTTCAAAAATTATTTTGATTTTTAATTAATTTTTTTAATAAATCTCGACTATGATTAGAGCAATTTTCATAGAATTCGTCGAGCAAATGTTCTACATCAAATGTTAACTTGATATAAAAACAATCAAGCCAATATAATCTGATCGATAGAATACAAAAAATAATTAAATGTGCAGCGTTTATAAATGTTTTTAGAATAAATGAGTAAAACTTTATTGTTCATTTACCATCTAACAGTTTTGAAGAAACAAACATACAAAACAAGTGACAGACATTGAAGCAAAATAAAATAATAGCAATTAACAAAGAAAGATCTATGTCTTATGTAAAGTGTGGTGTTAGTTACATCTAAAGTTAAGCATTAAGATGAAATTCAATATAATTATTTAATATAATAATAGTTTAAAATATTATAATTCTTTTTTGAAAATTATTATTATTCCTCTTTAAACTGTACTAAAAAGGAGAAATTAATTCTGCTTTTGTCACAACTAAACTGGGAGTATCACTTTTGAAAGATGTGAAGGGAATTTTTGATGGTGATAAAAGGTTATATCAAAAGTGATGTGGCCACTATTTTTCATTTTGAGTAGGACAAAAACAGACTTATTTTCTGCCTTTTCGTCAATTGGAAAAAGGTAACTATTAACATTTTTATGAAGAAATTGCAGAGTTAAGTTGAACTAGAGTTTTAGCAAAAATGTTAATATTCTAGATAATCTGTAAGTGGTTATATCTTTCATTTCAAAAGTCCAGTCTCCTGCACACAAAAGCGAGTAAAAAATATAGTATAAGTTATAATCATCATAATAATAGTGAAAATAGTGCAAATCAGAGAGTTTTAAATAAGCAGAAAATATTTTAAAAAATAATAATTTACCAGAGTATGATCCAGGAGATGTAGCTTGAGCATTAGAAGAGGAGGTCTTTGGTTTAACATCTAATAATTCCGAGGAGTCCTGACTCATCCTTTGTTCCAACCCCTTAAGATTTTTCATCAACATATTTTTCCCTGATGAAATTTTTTTGGCAAGACTAAAAAGAAAATTTCAAATATTTACAAAAAAATAAATAAATAAATAAACACATAACACAAAAATTCTTAAAATTTAATTGTTTAATAAAACAGATTTCACAAACAAAACTATATTTTGTTTGTGTTAAAACAAATAAGCAATTAAAAAATAAAAAATGTCTACATTGGTTTTATTCCTAACCCTCTCATGCACACAGGCCGCATGAGGAGATGGATATTTTTGCTTCATAATGTTATTCAGGTTCGCATTTGTGTTGTTGTTTGCATAAAGTTCTCATTTGAAGAATTCAAACAGTTCCTGGAAACCACACCAGGTGGAAGGATATTCAATATAGTAAAAAAAAAATATGATCTCCTTTGAAGGAGATGAGGATTCACAAAAGAAGTGAAAATCTGATATTTTGTATGGTATATTACATCACTAGAAATGTTGGTATTATTTTATATTTTTATACCTTATAAATGAAGTTTGAATATTCAGTTTTTCCATGATTTAAATTATATATTTAAAATATAACACAAAAGCATATGTCCTCATTTGTACATGAGGTCACCAATTGTTTACTAGACAAGACAAAAATTTTCAAAAATAAATTATTACACCACACTCCTTAGATACTAAATGTATTTGTAGCATATCTAAATAGTTTTTATATCTCAAATGAAAAGTTCATGAGAGGGTCAAGTGCCCTCATATAACATTTTAACAATGATAGTACACTACTTATTGATATAATATTTAACATATTTACAAACTGTACAGAACTTGTTTTCCTAACTTAATGCTGTGCTTATATTCATTGTTATAAATTATTGATATTCTTTCTTAGTTTTTTTTATCTTTTTAAAATTTTTTATTTGAAATAAAACAAAACAAAATACTAACTATTCTCAGAGTTATGACTGTTGTAAAGTTTAAGAGTTTTACTTGAATTCATGTTAGTTTCTTTTGATTGCAATAAAAATTACTTTTAATTGGGAATTCAACACTCAATAAAAATTTATATATTCTAAGACTAAAAGCCTTTTACTAAAAAAAAGAAAAGAAACTAGAAATAAAGTAATGGAATTTTAAAATCAACATCACACACAAATTTAAAAGCCACCACATAAGTAATACAACCTGAACCCTCCACACTTAGACAATAATAAATTGAAAAAGCAAAAAGAGATGGAATATGAAATACCCTCATCAATGAGGCATTATTATCATATTAGACCATCATTCTACACTATTTAATTATGACACACATAATTTAGCAAATAGAACAATGATTTCTTTCTTCTTTAGTTTATTAGATGTCAATAACATCTTGAATTTGTATAAATCATAGTTCTTCTTCCTTTTTATTTGTGCGCAAAGAATAAGGTTTGTATTTTTTTAATATTTCCAAGTGGATTTAGTGGAAACAAAAGCTTAAAATAAAAGTTAGACATGCAAATAGATTTAAGATAAATAAAGAAAATAATGCTAGAGTTTAAGATAAATTTTTAATAATAAGTTGATTCATATGAACAATACTATAAAAATATATCAACTGAACATCGTTTGAAAAATATGATTAATATAATTGATATTCATGAATAAAGTGTTTTTTCTTTCTTGTTTTGCAATGTATATTTAAGAGCTCTATTTTAAAGGAATTTTTACTTTTTGGTTTGTACAATTAGTTTGTATTACGATATATATATATATATTAAATATACATATATGTATGTATATATATATATATATGGATATAATCGTGTGTGCAGATAAAAAGATTTATATCTTTTATTTTCTGGATTTTTATTAATAGTTTTCCTTTTTTTTTGCTCCCCCCCCCTTTTTTCATTGTTCTGTAATTTTTTCCTTGTTTTCTCTACATTTTGAACTTTTATATATATATGTGTGTGTGTGTGTGATCATGTATAAAAGAGTCCATTTTTAAAAAAAAAAAAGAAATTAATTCAAGTTTAAAAATATTTGCAAATTATTTTATGAAACAGTTGACTAACCTTTCCTTTATATTTGTAAAATCAGCATCAGTTCCAAAAAGGAGAGATATATCTAAATTTGGAATCATCATTGTATTGTAACCATAAAAAGACATACTCGAGTATTTGTAATCATCATATAAGCTATCAGGGCAGGCATACTGAGGTGAAAAAACTGAATCAGAATTAGGATGTACACCATTTGTAACACCTTCATTCACATACTGAGGAGAAGTTACACTACCATCTGAACTGGTTGAAATTTTACTTTTGAAAGACACTCTTTTCTCATTGCTACCATGTTTTGAAAGATCTTGAAGATTAAGACTTAAGCTGGGTGGTGTGCTAGACCTGCTATTTACACCTTTGTCTCCATTCATATACGGAGCTTTAGAGCTTCCAGCCTGTTCTGAGCAATTTTCCGTGTTAAGTTTGAGTTTGGTGTCTTTGATTGGAGAGCTTTCACCATTTAAGCATGTTTCCTGAGAGTTGGAAGTTTGTCCATTTTGGGGTTGAGAGAATGATTGCCAATCTTCTTTGCTTTGTGTGCCTTTACTAGAGGGGCTGCTTTGAGTTTCGTCACTCATTTCAGACACTCTACCAGAAGTAGCAGAATCTGTGCTATCAGGAGTTCTAATTGCTCCTGGAGTTTTGAATTTTCCAGTAGAGTCTTTAACAGTAACAGATGATCTTTGACTCTTTGGACTGTATGAGCCCCGATCACTAGATCTTGATGGACTTGAATGTGGAGAACGGCTGTTTTGTCTGAAGACAGGTGATGCTGATCTCCATCTGCTGAGACAAACAGATGGGGATTCTTCATCAGCTTCTCTCATAAATTTATTAACTACATAAATTCCAGAGTTTAGTCGTACTGATTCAGACATGGCTGAACTTGAGCGACTAGATTGTGATAGTTTATCTGGACTGAGACCAAGATTGTTTAAAACAGAGGTAAGACCAGTAAATAAATAAGATTTTCCCATTTCAGAAGCTTTTTGTAACATATCAATTATAAAAGATGCAGGAACATAAATATTTAATCTAGAGGAACAAAGAGAGGTTTTTTTAAGCAATAATAATTGAGCTCCGTGAATTGCAAGGCCTTGTTGATACAATTTGCAAACACCTTGTTCCACAGTCAAAAGAGTATATTTGTTGAAACTTCCATCCATAAAATGTATGTATATTTCACCTCTTTGACATCTGGCATCTTTGATACCTAAATAAACAACAATACAATAAATAAATGCTCTGACATAATAAATAAGATACTGATATAAACTTTAAAATTTTTCAAAATATTAATAACGCTCCTATTATATACTTATAAATTATACCAAAAAAAATTATAAAATTGTCAAATACATGTATTAAGATTCAATAAATAAAGTATTCAATATAAATAAAACACTAGATAAAAAAATTTCTGCTAAAAAGGTAAATTATTAAAATAAATAAAAAGTTGAACATTGAACAGTGTTACATGTTCAATTAATTAAAAGAAATGAAAATCACCTTTTAATTCATCACTCCAAAGAACTATTTCAGCACGCTTTGGATCAAATACATATACACCTTGAGGACTCCAAGTAAAAATAAAAGGACACTCTTCAGTACTGAAAAATTTATAGGAAATTAAATGCATCTCACATAAAATATAAAAAAATAAACTATCAATATTGAAAAATAAATGTAGCACACTTAACATAAAATGTTAAATAAATATTTAAATGGACATTATCACCTTTAAAACCATATTTTTGAAGAAAAAAAAAAGGAAATTATGTACAATCATTCTAAATAGCAGTTAATTAATATCTTCAATTGCAAAAAAAATTATAAAAAAATGTTAAGTAAAACAAACAAAAGTGAGTAAAACAAAAAGCTCCTTTCTAAATACTGGGGGTAGCTTTTAATTTGTTCCTAAATTTAAATAAAAAATATGTTAAACCCAAAAAATAATAATTTCAAGTATTTATATGAAATAAATGTTTTGCTCTGGAGGGAATATTTGATCAATTTTGTGTGTTTTTGTCTAAATAATAAGTATATACATATAATTAAGTACATTTGACTAAATATAACTAACAAAATTTTATATTTAAAAAAAAATTCATATTTTTACAGTGAATTGTTAAAAAACTCTTAATCAAAGTATTGTATAAACCAGGACACACAACAATAACGATCAAAAACTAAAATAAAATTACTTAAAACTCTAACAAAATAAATAAGAAATAAATAAAGAGAAAAATAAAATAATTTAATGCAAATTAATTTTCAACCAGTCTAATAAAATATACAAATCTAATGAGAAAATAATAAATTGTGAAGTTAGTAATTTATATTCAAAGTTACCTAGGCCACACAAGCAGTAGTTTTTGAAAATTTGTTGCTTGAGGTTTGCATTCAGGTTCTTCATCATCCATATTGATTTCTCTTCTAAAATAAAATCATACTGCATGTAAGGAGAAATTGTTATTCATTATTACTAAGTTCAACTAAATAATTAGACCAGATCTTAACTGACCAAATGTCCACCACACACATATTAATTTTTTCATTGCAAATATTGAAAAAAATCTCTTAAATAAGATGGAAGTAGAAAAAGATAATAGAAAAAACATCCATAGGTTGGGAAATAATGTAGAAAAAAACTAGAACTGTATCAAACAATCGAGATTTCTTTTACTTAAAACAAGCATAATTAAATTAATGTATTTGCATACTTAAAGCTCACCTTTTTTTGTACACATAAAAAAGTAACAATTAGTAATCTTTATGCCATTTAAATTTATTGAAAACTTTATAAGATTTTGAATAAAATGAAACGCTTAAAAAATTTTGATTTTGTGATATCTAACAAAAAATATTTCAATGAAACATTTTAAACTACTAAGAATTAAGAATTTTTAATATAAAACTATCAAAATTATCATTATAAGATTTAAAATAAAATNAAAACACTCGATAAAAAAAAATTCTGCTAAAAAGGTAAATTATTAAAATAAATAAAAAGTTGAACATTGAACAGTGTTACATATTCCAGTGCTTTCATCGCAGAAAAAAAATGGGTGAGAATTTCTCACCCTTTCTCAAGAACAGGGTGAGATTTCAAAAAGTTAAGTGAGATTTCTAAAAATTAAAAAAAAAATCACTAAGAGACTTGAAAAAAAAAATCATTTCTTTAATTATAATACATTTTTAACATCTTCTAATTTTTAAAGCATTGAATATTTTCGTTGCATCATCATATGAAAAATGTTCTACATCTACTTTTTCATCAGCTATTCTCATTAGGTTGCTCAAATGCGTGTTTGTTTCGTTTTGACCGTTTCTACCCACTTTTGTTTCATTTTCATTTGTCCGTTTCAGAGTAGAAGATATTGCCTTTACAAGGCATTTGTCCATCTTACATTAATGCGCAAAAAATTTGAACTTTTTACATGGAGAAACCTTAACTACGTTAAACACGTGGTTGCAGAGAAATGCATTCTGAAAGAGGTTTCGTGGTTCCGAGGGATGGTGTTCTGTTGTTCTTAAAGGTTCTGAACAATACTGGTAAATAGGGAAGCTAGATAATGGGGCAGATGTTGAAAATAATGAAAGATCCAGGAAGAAAAATGTAACGGATTTTATTCTAAATGGCGCAATGAGAAATTTTTTTCAAAATGCGAGAAATTCGTGAATTTTGAAATTGGTTTATAGAATGCGCGAATTTCTCGCGGTAATAATTTTTTAATGCGAGAAAAGAAAAAAATATGTGAGATTCTCGCGTTCTCTCGCTGTAGTGAAAACACTGTATTCAATTAATTAAAAGAAATGCAAATCACCTTTCAATTCATCACTCCAAAGAACTATTTCAGCACGCTTTGGATCAAATACATATACACCTTGAGGACTCCAAGTAAAAATGAAAGGACACTCTTCAGTACTAAAAAATTAATAAGAAATTAAATGCATCTCATACACACAAAGAATAAACTATCAATATTGGAAAATAAATTTAGTACACTTAACGTAAAATGTTAAATAAATATTTAAATGCACATTATCACTTTCAAAACCATATTTTTGAAAGAAAAAAAAATACGTACAAATTATTGACAAGAATTTTAAATAGCAGTTGATTAATATCTTTAATTGCAAAAAAAATTATAAAAAAAAATTAAGTGAAACAAACAAACAAAAGTGAGTAAAACAAAGTGCTCCCTTCTAAACACTGGGAAAATATTTTTGTAGCTTTTAATTTGTTCCTCAAATAAATAAAAAATAAAAAATTTAAATAAAAAATATGTTAAACTTAAAAAATAATAATTTCAAGTATTTATATGAAATAAATGTTTTGCTCTGGAGGGAATATTTGATCAATTTTGTTGTGTTTTTGTCTAAATAATAAGTATAAACAGTACAGAACCCGTTATCCGAAAACCGGAACGAAATTCAATAAATATTCCCGCCATTTCTTAAAAAAAAATTTTCTTTCCTCATAAGATTTTTCTTTCTTTTTTGAAAGATGGTTACCTTACCATCATTTTGGAAATAATCATTAGTGTATTACTTCATCGTTTTTTCTTCTTTTTAAGATTATTTCCAAATATTTTTTTTTTTTAGTTGGGTTTAACAATAAAAAAAACGACTTTTTGTAGCCATTCAGAAAGCCGGAAAAATCAGTTATCCAGAATAGCGATGGTTCCGATCATTCCGGATAATCGGTTGCCTACTTTACATATAATTAAGTACATTTGACTGAATATAACTAAACAAAATTTCATATTTTCTTTTAAAAAAAATGCATATTTTTACAATGAATTGTTAAAAAACTCTAAAGCAAAGTATTGTAATAAACCAGGACACACAACTAGGGGTGATTGTGAGCCCAAGTCAAAATTCCAGAAAATTTCTTGAGTTAAAAAAAAAACAAAAAACAGTTTAAATTGAAAAAAAATTTAAACAAGTTTTTTTTCTTCCTTTTTCTCAATATTTCTTAGTTTACTTAAAATATATTTAAAATTTTACACATACCTATGATGACCTGGAGAAGTAATTAAAATTTAGAAATATGTCTATCTTTCTTGAGTTTCTATTATAACAACTATTTACTGATAAAAAATGAATATTAATCATGAATATAAGCTTACGAAGTATCTCTCTGGCTCTCCCTTACAAACAAATAAAATAAAATGTGGTTTTAAGTTCCACCTTTGAAAATTTGATTTCCAGAAACTTCTGTGATCAATGATTTTTTGAAACTTCTGGATCTTCGATCTCCAGAAACTTCCAGATCACTGTTAGCGAAAATTCCAGAAATCCGGATTTTTTCGGAGCACAAGCAGCCCTGCACAACAATAACAATCAAAAACTAAAATAAAATTACTAAATGAGTGTTAAAACTCTAACAAAATAAATAAGAAATAAATAACGATAAAAATAAAATAACTGCAAGTTAAATTTGAACCAGTCTAATAAAATATACAAATCTAATGAGAAAATAATAAATTGTGAAGTTTGTTATTTGTATTAAAAGTTACCTAGGCCACACAAGCAGTAGTTTTTGAAAATTTGTTGCTTGAGGTTTGCATTCAGGTTCTTCATCATCCATATTGATTTCTCTTCTAAAATAAAATCATACTGTACATAAGGAGAAATTGTTACTCATTATTAATAAGCTCAACTAAATAATTAGACCAGATCTTAACTGACCAGATCTCACACACACAGACATATATAAATTTTTTCATTGCAAATATTGAAAAAAAATCTCTTAAATAGCATAGAAGTAGAAAAAAACTAGAACTGTTATCAAACAATTGAGATTTCTTTTATTTAAAACAAGCATAATTAAATTTAAGTATTTTCATACTTAAATCTCATCTTCTTTTATATACATGAAAAAGTAACAATTATCAATCTTTATGCCATTTGAATTTATTTAAAACTTTATAAAATTTTGAATAAAATGAAACTCTTAAAAAATTAGGATTTTGTGACATCTAACAAAAAATATTTTGATGAAAATTGTAAATTACTAAGAATTAAGAATTTTTAATATAAAACTATCAAAATTATCACTATAAGATTTAAAATTTAAAAAAAATATAAAAGATGTTGATTTTTTAAACAATAAATATTAGCATAAATAGATATCTTCAATTGTGTTGCATTTTGTTTTAATATTTACTTTCTAGAGAAATAATTTTCTAATATTTGCTAACATGCTCTTGATAAAAAAATTAATTTAATAATATAGTTATTTTCTTTATCTTATATTTATTTAAATTCCTCAAAAAAACATTTTTTATAAACTTATAATAACCAAAAAAATTCTAGTGTAATGATTTCAAACATTTATAAGCTGTTGTAATACCTATAAGATAATTAAAGAAAAATATGCTGTAGCAAAAGTAAATTTTCCTTGATTAAAATGTAAGGAAAGCAAAGTAAAATGAAAGCAATTTCATTAAAAAAAAAAAAAAAGCAGTTACCTGAAGGTATAGAGTCTTTCCGGTTTAACAGCTAGAGCAGTTTTAAATTGGTGAGTACAACAGACACTACCTTTTATATCCACCTTTAAAATATTCAAAATTGTGAACAAAAACTACAATAACTGATTTAAACAATAAAATCCATTTATTTACAAATATATGCAGGAGATGTAATAAAAAAACAAATATAAATAAATAAATAATAAAAATAGCAAGACTGTGCATTAAAAACAAGACACAAGATTTGGATATTTTTCAAAAACATAAAAGAAAATTCCTCTACAGACTTTGATATATATTAATTATATAGCTTCTTGATTTTGCTATATTATTTTCAGCCAATACTTCTAAATCTTCACTTATAACCTTGTTCCAATAATTTTATTACTGTTACACAAAATGTTCACATCCTTGATAAAATTAAAAGCTATTTTAGTCTCACACTAAATAAGTAAAAAAAAATTTACTGTATTGCAATTTTACTAATATGATCAACAGAACTTCCAATATTTTAGTGATAATATAGTTATCACTAATGTAAATAGTTCACCAATCAGAAGTAAAAAAGCAATTGAAATAGCTTATTAGAAGCAGTTATTTAATTAAATTCATGAAAAATACATTTAGTATTATACAGGCCTCATAGTGTTCCAAAGAAAAAAAAATCAAAACATTATTTTACAAAGAAAAAAAAATCAGATTTTTTATACTATTATTATAAAGGGTGCTTGTCCATCCACTCTACTATTATAAAAGATGAACCATACTACTATTATAAAGGGTGAACCATACTACTATGTTATTTAAAATTGGCAATAAATTTTAATTAACAAAAAAAAAATAATACATTAATTAATAACTATCAAGCAAATAAATTAAATAGTTATTATTCTGAAATTAAATTATGTACACAGAAAATAAAATTATATTATTTAAATAATAAAAAAAATAATTTAAGAGTGTCTTTAACAAATTCTCTACAATCTTTACAGTCTCTAACAATCAAATTTCCTTATTTTTACAGGCATGATTAATCAATACAATAAAATATTAGAGCGAAAATTCAATTATTCGAAAAATCTGCATTTGTGTACAAAAATTAGGAAAAACTTTTTTTTTATCAGGAATATGAATTATAATATAAGAATTAAATAGAAAATTCCAAATGCAGATATTTACTTATTTTCAGCATTATCTACTGATTAAAGTAAAATCCAAATTAAAGAATGACACAAATAAAGAAAATATTTTGAGTAAACATGAATAATTTATTATAATTGAAACACATGCAAAATTATTTCAAAGAGTACCTCCCAAATTCTTGATCCTGGTCGTGCAGAATAAATAGTGCAAGGATCAATTGATCTAACACCTGGATAAAAACATGCTCCAAATTCACCATCCCTTAACTTCTTTCCTATGGTCATAAACTGTTCTCTGAAATCACAAAAAGATAATAAATTGCAAAAAAAAAAAATTTGATAAAATACATAAATAATTAAGCCTTTACGATGGTTAATGTACACTGAAAACATGCATGAAAAATTACATAATTACAAGTATGAAAATTTATGAAAAATATTTTTACACACCAATTGACATCTAACAGACTATTTTATAGGTTAAATATTAAAATCCCCATTTTTAGTGAATTGAATAACAACCAAATCTAATGTTATTTAAAATTGGCAATACATTTTAATTAGCAAAAAATTAAAAATAAATAAATAAAGCATTAATTAATAACTATGAAGCAAATAAATTAAACAGTTATTATTCTAAAATTAAATTACGTATACAGAAAATAAAATTAAATTATTCAAATAATAAAAAGAAATAATTTAAGAGTGTTTTTAACAAATTTTATAAAAGATTCATGTGTTTTAGACTTTTAAGAAAGAAAACTGCTTGTAAGATTGCACAGGAAATACTATGGAAGTGTTCAAAATACGCATCAGAGTTAAATAAGATGAAATATTATAGAAGATAATTACTTATTAGTGTCACAAAGATAACATCTGGTAATAGATGATACAAGTATGTGATCCTGAGCAAAGTCAATCTGCACTATTTTTGAGTCCAATTTCATAAGAGTTGTTGTTGGTACTTGAAATATATTTCGAGTCTATAAAAGCGAAGAATACATTTTAATCAAGCAATTAGTGTCTCTTAGTATAATACAGGTAACCTCAACTGTAAAATCAAAGGACAAAAATACATAGTTTCAAATATTTTAAGATAAAAATTAGGAAAATTTTTTCATTACCAAAATTATATACAGAAAAGGTATTTTTATAGATGTTTACATTTATGTGATTATGTTATACCAAAATTTATATGAACAATTAAAGCACATTAATTTTATAGGAAAGATTTTACTCTCTATTACCAAACGCAAAAACTGCAAAAGTATAGTAAGAAATGATTAAAAAAGTTTGGAATACTAATACTCTCCTGTGAAATGTTTTCTCTTTGAAAAAAAAAATTACTTAATGTAAAAATGTCGCTTTAGAAAGATTAAAATTTTTTGGTGAAATTTGGGTGATGTGAGAAGTTTTGAGTTGCTTGTAAAATAGAAGAAAATTAAAGAAAAGAGAGAGAGAGAGTTGGAATTCACATACTTACAAAATAGGATTCTAAAAAGTTAAATGTAATTACATATAAGCATTTTAAAAATAATAGGCTTTCAGAAATCAAATGCCATTCTCTCTCTTGCCATTCTAACATAAAAGAGAACATTTAGTAAACAACAATAACACATGGCTTCTGATATGTAGTCCTTATTAAAATGAATAAACAATAACAGAATTACATCTGCCACCTTTTGCATGGACTTGAATTTGCTGATTCCTATAAATTCCCAGAATAATAGTCTGAAAAGAAGTTCAAATTCATACGAGTATTTACTAAAATCAATGGCAGATAAAATGCTGGAAGCTTTAGCTATGAAAATCTATATTTATTGTATGTCTGTGTTAAATTTCCTTAAATAAATACAAGTGCAAAAAAACAAAAACTCAAAATCACTACAATTTTAAAAAAAAATAAATAAAAACAAGATAAACTCACCCTTGATGTAGAAACGCTAATAACTGAGATCTTCCCTTTATCATCACCAATATACAATTTTGATGATGATACATTCCATTGCATTGCAGTAATACAAGACCCTCGGTGTTCAAAAGAGATTTGAAGTCGCTGAGGCTGGGCAGCTCCTCTCTCTGTATTATGCTCATAAACCAAGGCAACACCTCGACTAAAACATTTTTTTCTCATTTTAGCTCAAATAAAACCATTAAAAAACTTTGAAGAATTACAAATTGTTACAGTAAGAGAACTAAAAAGGTAAAAATAGACACAAAAATATACAAAAACAAAATTCTTTTTTTGTTTTCTAATACATGAATAGAAAAATGTACAAATTAATCTAAGACTGATTGCTGGTGGCTAGTGTAAATATATAAGACAGTTTAAGTATTTCAAATTAAAATTTGAAGATCAAAATGCTTTTGGCAAATCTTATACTCTATAATCCAAAACTACAGAATGATAATTACCTGGTAGCAAATCCTATAATATTTTCGTCTGGAGCCAAAGCAGTTTGACAAACAGGTCCTTCCTAAAATAGCGATGAAAAATTTGTTTTAAAATATTACTGGCTCGAGAACATTTATTGCAGTTAAAGTTATCTATTGAACAACAAAATGCATATTGGTTTGATGACTCACTCAAACAATTATATAACAAAAAATCATTTCGAACAGCGCAACTTTTAAAATATTTTTATTTTATTACACTATAAATTTTATACAATTTATATTCAACTCTAAAGGGTAGTTTATATTAGATCATCAATATTGAAATTTTTACGATTTTTTGAATTACTTTGCGTTTAAAATGTTTATGAACAAAACCAATAAATAAACATAACTTCAACAACTAAAATTCATATTTTTGTCTGCCCTTAGCCAATCAGGAACAAGAATATTATATTTGAAAAAGCATAAGTATTATGAACAGAAGTTTTTGTTCCAATAAATCGATAAAATTCAAATAATAATATATGACATATAAAGGCAACAAACAATTTTAATATGAACAATCCATACAAATTACCTAACCATTTACATGCGGAATTGAAAAAGAATTATCCAAATAGCTTGAAAATTGATGAGTACACAATTAAAGAGTACTTAGATATCTTTGAATGCAACAATAAAAATAAAATAAAATTGAGCGAAAAAATTGTTCTGAGTTTTTAACAATGTTCCATTCTTGAAACACTGGTGCTTTCCAGGAACTTTGTTTACATTTTTCAAAGCAAAAAGGAAATAGAATGAAAATAAATATATTAGATTAATTAATAAATTTAGTTAACAATATTGTAAGAACAATTAGTTTTCTTGACCTTAAAAGTACCATTAATATTGATTGCTACAATAAATGTTGATTATCACTTACATGATTATCATTTACTTGTGATTCAATGGTACAGGCAGGATTTACATGGAAAACACTTTTTATGATATTTATTTACAAAGACACTGGGTTGTATACATAAATAATGACTATCTGATAGTTTTAATACACATTTTTAAATTACTTAGAGGCATGACGGATAGAAATCTACTCCTCTTTTTGCAAGAGGCTTATTGCAAACTCTTAATAAAAACTCTTTAAACTCTTAATAAAAAATTCTGTTGTCTTTTTTATACAGTTTGCTTTATAAAATCCAACCTTTAACAACAAAAATTTTAATGCATTACTAAAAATGTCCCGCTAATATTTTTGGCCATTGTTCTTGTATTATCAAACATATTCTAGACTGGTGTTAAAGCAAAGAGAATTTGTAAATGAAACAACAAAAAAAAGTATACACTTTTCTGTAACTTAGCAATAACATCAAATATACCTAAGAAATAATATAAATCAGGAAAGAAAAATTATTTATAACAAGAATCTATTGTAGTAAACACAAATGAATGAGGCATTTAATGTTAAATTTTAGCTCCAACATTGTCAAATAGTATAAAAAAGGATAACACCCCTGAAAGCTATAATCTCATGAGAAAGAATTTTCATGTATGTTAGAATTTTGAAAAAAGAGATATAAATACTATGAAAATGTATTAGATTCTAAGTATTACAAAAGCCCCTGTCAATATCATTTTGTTAGAAGAAACCTGATAATTCAGGTTCTTCACTTTCCTAACGTTCATGGTCAAAAGAAGTAAAATTTACAAGTGTTCTAATCCCTCTATTATTTCAACATTATTTCGCTTAAATAAGCACCAGAATAATGAATGAAATGCACACAACATAACTAAATGCAGTATTTGAACTCTAAAAAATATTACTCTTAAAATAAAATGTTCCAAGAATGTAACATTGGGTTTTCCACTCATATTTTAACTTTAAAACAAAATTTCCATTTTCATGTTTACCAGTAGGTAATGTTGTCCTTTTAAATAATTGAATGCATTAAATTTTTCACATTAAAATTGGATACTTGATAATGTAAAATGTATGTGCATGTAAAATTAGCTAATTATATCAAATATTAAAAAATCCAAAAAATGATTTAAAAAATTATAGAAATGGATACAAACTAAATTTAAAAATCATTCATAAATCTATGCAAAAAAGATTATTATTCCTAGTTTAGTAGCCCATTAAATCAAAATTCGAAACCCATGTTTCATTATTGGAGTATTCATGAGTAAACGGTTAAACATCAAATATATATAAAGCATGCTAGAAATAATTTAAACAGTTTGTTTGTAATAGATTATTTAACTAAAAAAAGAATTTGATAGTTAATCTAAATACCTAAAGAAAAAAAAAGGACAGATTAATTTGAAGTGTTAGTTACCTTAGCTGTGAGTGTCTTAAGATAAGATAGGTTGTCATGTTGTAAAATAACAACACCACCTGCATTGGTTCCAAAGACAATGTAATGGCGTGAAATATCAAAGCATGTGTACTGGAAAAAAGAAAAAACCATAAACAAGAATCGAGACTTGTTAAGTTAAATGCAGTGAAACCTTTTGGAAGTGACCACTCTCTGTTCCACAGTTGATGGAGGTTGGTTGCTCTTAGGGGTTACTTCCATTGACTTCTAAATGTTATTGAAAGCTTTTTTGCTATTGATTTTGATTTTACCCAGTGAAATTTTTTGGTGCCAAAACGCATCTCCTGTTGGCGTCACGAAAACCAAATCGATGATTAAAATTTAGCATCAATTAAAATGATGTGTACTGATATAATGTGTAAAAACAAATTTACCCTTTGTGAATGATATAAACAATTATGTTTTTTGCTTAAGTCTGCATTTAATTTTATATTATAAAAACTAGTTTACTTTAAAAAATGAGAGGTTTGTTTATGATGCTTAGTTTTTTCTAAAATAACTTTTTTTATAAATTTAACTTCTAACTTTAAAACTAAATCATTATCATTGATACAATCATCTTTATTGCACTCTGACTATAACATGAGACTGTCAAACTTTTTCAGCAATCGTCAAAAAGAGCTCTCTAAATAAGAACCACTCACAAATATTGTGAATACATTTAAATCCACTTATTTGTTTTGCTAATATTTTTAATTTTGATAGTTTTTTGTGTTTCCTTATTTGACCTTTTCGCATTTGATTAGGAGGTTTGCCTGGTCGCTGGGAGTGGTTTTGATGGTCCCTTCTAAAGGTTTTCTTCGATGCAAAGCCCAAGGAAAAAGTTCTGTGCCTCTCAAAAGTGGTCGTAAATAGAGAAGGTCACTACAAAGAGGTGGTCCTTCTTGAAAGTTTCACTGTATTATAAACCTAACCTTTAAAGTACAAATAAAAAAATTAGGAGACAGTTATGGAACTAAATGTGACAGCTTTTTAAACATATCATTGAATGTTATAAAAATGTTTCAAGGTTAAAAAATAGAAAAATTTAATTTTCAAGGAGTTGTTGAGAACTCTCTCTAAACCCTTCCCTCAAAGATAATAAAAATAAATTTATATAAAACTATTCTACAAATTCACCTATTACACAGAGATAAATGTACCAATCAGTCTCATGAATTTTCAGCGAACTAAAATTTAACAGTAAAAGATACAACTACTATTGCTCATATCACACATTTTAATGAAAATTCTGTTTTCAAGAGGCCCACGAGAAACTAAAAAAAAACATCAACGAAAGGGACCAACTCGAAATGTATAACTTGCAACCACCACCGGGCAAATATCTACATGTTTTTCTAAAAATATTTGCAAGCTTAAAATCTATTAGGCACCTGGGCGATTGTAGTTGGCGCAACAGATCATGATACAGAAATATCCCCTAATAAAGTTCGGCTTAGAAAAAAAAGGGATTTATTAAATAGCATAAGAGCAAATTATGGTTGAAAACAGAAGTGTGACATTAACTATTTGATAGGAAGTTAAATTCCCTGACAATTCCTGGTTTTTGGGAAAAATTGCGTTTATCCATGACTTTTTTTGTTCCCGTTTTCTCTGACAATTCTCGGACTTCCTGGCACTTTTGAAAACTTATTTCCGACTTTAACAACTATTTTGGAGTACTTACCAATAAGGAAATTTATCCTATCAATGCTATTAATTTTTACAGGACATAATGGTATGAGGAAGTAAGAAGGTACTGCAAGACCAAGCTCTAAAGATAAATTTCACAAAAAATACAAATAGTCTACCTTAACTCGACTAGCTGTTTTAATAGGAGCAAACACAGAATCTTGATCTTCTAATTCAGCTAAAATGTAAGAAGCTCTTGGTGAACAAAGGCCCCCAGAAGCCATGGCACTTTTGTTTCCTCAAAGAGGTTACTTCAATTCACCAATCACTGCAACGAAAAAAATAAATATGTAAATAAAGATTACTTAGTATTATAGTAACCACATTACTAGCAATGAAAATTTTTAAGGGTTTAGGTAGGCAACACAGAAAGAAATATAATATTTTCTATAGTCAAAATGAATATAAATGGGTCAAAGCATACGACTACATATAATCTTACTATCATTGATTTTCTCGCTATCATCATACCCTGCAGACAGCAGAACCATATTTCAATAAAATTGCCCATCGCACTTGAAAAGCAGGATTAAAAGAACTCATATTTTTTGAATAAATATTTGTTGAAGTAAAGCGATCAGCGCAATTCAGATTTTCATTTTTGTTGATTGTTGTTTCAAGTTTCGGTCGCGGTTACATAAATAATATCGAAACTATCACGTGAAGAAGGACTTCTGCTAAAAATTTTACGGCTTGTCAAGTAGCAAGTCATGATAAATGTAGAGGATAAGTACTTTGAAACTTCAACTTCTACTAAAAAAACACACTCGGAAGTGTAATCATCACATTTTAATAATACTAATATTAATTTTAAAAAAACCCAGCGGTAAATGAATTTTTTATGATTTAAAAATTAACAAAATCAAAAATTATAAGTTTTTAAAATTTGTTAAATAAGTAGGTATTTTATTTACGTCACACTAGAGCTGCACAATGGACTTGTTAAAAAGGAAACAAGATGAATAGAATCCTAAATCTTTTTATTTCTTTGGAAATTTCTGCAATACAAAAAACAATTATACTGTGCAATTCATTCAAACTGGTTTTATATAGATGGTGTTTTCTACACTAGGAAGAGCTGCAAGCTTTTGACTCCTTATATTTCCGAGTTACTGTTCTCGGTGTGCTTTGAAGCCATTTGGCTCACAACGGTCATTGTGTTTTTCAGACTATGTTGAGTAGTATTTGCATTCATTACCTGATTTATTATTTGTGTTTAAAAGAAGAATCGTTATAAGTCATTTGAAAACCTGCCATTTCAAGACAGAAGAATTGTCATTTGACAAAAAGAATCTTTATAAAACATTTTCTTTCTTTCTTAACGATATTCCAAATTTGAAATATAAACCTAAATGATAATTTGTAAAATGAATTTAATTTCACTTCTTGAACAGTATGCTAACACTAACGTAAGATGGTACACAGCTTGAACTAAGAATAAACATTAAAAAACACGTAAAAAGAGGCCAAATCAGAACTGCCCAAAAAGCGAGTTCTTTCGAAATCTATCAAAAAAGGTGATCTTTTTTAACGCTACATCTATAAATAACTCAAACCGATTTTCACTTCAAACTCCCCAGAATTACTTAATATCATTTATGCATTATGAAATACAGCAGATTTGAGCTCAGAAATTATATAATTTATTTCTTTTATTAAAAGCAAAATTATTAGTTTGAAAATATTGCCTCGCAGTATATAAGCTGTAGTAAGCAGCTATATACTTTTTAACCCTAAGTAGAGCAGTTCAAGAGCTCGAGACTGTTGTTGTTTACATTTATACTGAAAACACCTTCCATTGAAAAGGAATCGCCAAATTATTTTAAAACACTTATATTAGTCGTGAAATATGTTAAAGAAACTTTAATAAGATTTTTCAGTTTAAATTACTTTATTTTAAGAAAATTGTCAACAAAAGGAAGGACAATTTGGGAACATTTTATAATTTATTGTATAACGTGATTCATTTAAAACTGATTTCACCTTAAAAATTGAGCGCAAAATTAATTGAAAACAGCTCAGCTTTACAGAAAATTTTTAAAAGGAACTTGCTTAGTTCAAATCACTCCAATGAATTTCGTAAACATAAGTGTAGACAATTTGCATATTTTCTTATGGATTTTTGTATGAAATTTGTTCAATAATTTTAAGTCAACCTCGATTTTTATGAAACATTGATTTAAGATATATTTTTATTAAATTTGGATAAAAAAGAAAAAGAACCAGTTTCGACAAAACTCTAATTTCAGTGTATATATATCGCTCGTATGGATAATTTGAGATTTTATTTTATAATAATTTAAATGCAGAATTCTTTAAAAACTAATGCAATATTTAAAAGGTTATTAAGTTGTTAACAAATATTTATAGAAAGTTTTTTTATAAAAACTTTTTTAGTCCAAATCATTCTTTCAGAGAACGTTTCTCGCAAACAAAGGAGTGTATAAATTTCGAATTTTTTTTTAATAAAAATTTGTATAGCGGATTTAATTTAAAATTCATCTCGTATTGAAAAGTAAGCATCAAATTGTATGAAGACATCCATATTGGTCAAAAAATATTGATAGATAGTTTTTAATAAGACATTTTGCTTAGTTCAAATTAATCTAATTTCAGAATATGTATATCGCCAACATAAAGGATGGACATTTTATGATATTTTTATAATATTTTTGCCAAACAAAATTTAAATAAAACTGATTTCATTCCTAAATGTGAGCAAATTGTTGGAATGCACACATATTGCTCATAAAGTCGTTAATTATTTTTTTCAATTAAAACTTTGTTTTGTCCAAATTATTGAAATTTCCTATTATGTATATTGTAAACAGAAAGATGTGCATAATGGTCAAATAAATTTTGTTATTCGGAATAATTTGAATTCATTTAAATAATTAATAGTAATAAGCTTCAATTTGTTTTAAAATATCAATATATTTTAAGGTTTATAGAAAATTAAAATAAAAGTAACTCGTTTTGTCCAATTTTTTTTAAATTCCTGAGGTTATGTATACCGCTTTCATAATAATTGAAATTTTGTGAACTTTTTTAAAATATTTTTAATGATTAATTTTTTTGAAACTATCACGTAAAATAGGCGTTTTAATTTGTTTGAAGACATCTATATTTGTTAACAACTATTTATTAGATTACTGTCCAAATAACTCTTATCTCAGAGTAAGCCCATCGCAAACAGAAGGGTGAATACATGATACATTGTGAATTTTTACAAATTTTTGACACTCACACTGGTCAAGAAAATTCTTAATCAGAACTTTTTTCATCCAAATTATTTTAATTTCAGAGTGTGTATATTGCCAACGTAATGGTAACACATTGTGAATTTTTTGAAGCAGAATTTACCTAAGATTGATTTCATATTACTTGAGATTGATTTCAAATGTGAGAGTTAATTTGTTCGAAAACACACATTATTCTCTTATTTCTGCTTAATTTCTTGAGACTTAAATTAGTCAAAATCACTCGAATTTTAATGTATGGACTACATGAACGTAAGGGAGAATAATTTTCAATTTATTTATAATTTTTGGTAACTTAGAAATTATTCAAAACTGGTTTTACATTGTAAAGAAGGCGGCACTGTGATTCCGCATAATTAATCGAATTGTATTTAAATTGAATCAATCAGTTAATTTTTATTTAAAGCGAACCATATTCTTGGCAATAGATGGCGCCACTTGAAAACAAGAACAATCGCTCCCCACTGCCTAAACAGGCATATGAGAGAGAGGGAGAGCAAACCATAAAATATATTCTTCTTTTCTTATCGATCAATGTAATGGCGAACTTTTTGTTTCAATACTAATGTAGGTTCATTAATTTACTGTTTCGCCTAATCTAAAACAAAAATCTATTTATAACTCTTTATTTTTAATTTCTTACCACGAATATGTTTCAGTTACATGGTTTTATTAATTCTCACTGTCTTGCTGGCGATTCGCGATTGCCAGAGTATTTTCAAACCTAATACTGATTATGCGGGTTGGCTTTATTTTGGAAATGTTATCTTTCGATAATTCTCGAACCCTGGGTCTCTTCTCCATGCTCCTAGTGTCCGTTGGGAACAAATTCATTTACTTTCAATTTCAAATTTGTGGTGACTGGTTGTGCCCTTTGGGGCCTCACAGTCCCAACCGTTGAATATCATTCACGCTAACAAAACTCTCGATGTAAGATAATATTTTATCTTGATCCCTTTAAGGGATTTCTTTTCTTGATTATGCTTATATTTTTGAATTATGGCCATTTTCAATATTTAATAAATCAATTTTGCATAAACTATTTTATTTATTTCCTTGAGACAATTATTTTATTACATCCGAATTAGGATGCGTATGCAACGGCCAAAAGTCAATGATGATACTTGAACTACCTCTAAAATATTATTAATGGCGATCAACGTAACCACAGGCACATTGCTTGAAGACAGCCATATTGGTCAAGAAAAACTTAAAGAGAAAACTTAAAGAATTTTTTAATAAGAACTATTTCAATCCAAACTACACAAATTTTGGAGTATCGCCAACATAGTGGGATTTTTTTAAACAAATTTTATGAAACTGTATCATTTTCTAACGTTAGCATCAAATTTTATGAAGACTCGTATATTTGTCGAGAAATATTGATAGAAAACTTTTAATGAGAACTTGTTTATTTCAAATTACTTTATTTTCGGAGTATATGTATATCGCCAGCACAGGAGTGGGCATTTTGCGATCTTGTTCGGCAGTGGACATTTTACGATCTTTTTTGCAAAGTGGGAGTCATTTTAAAATTCGTTTTTCAAATTTAGAATTCTTTTCCGTTATCCGTTTTACAAATTAATTTCATTTTATAATCCTAGCGTTAAATTGTTCAAAAGACTCATTTTGGTTATTAAATCTTAAAAGAAAATTTTTAATAAGGCTTTGTTAAGTCGAAATCAATGGAATATCACTGTTTGCTTCGATTATATATCCCAGAATGTTTAATATGTATGATAAATATTCATAAAAATTTAAATATTCATATTTTAGATTCATTTTTATGTAAATGCAACCAAAAATCATTCTTTTGTATTTATATATATATATATATATATATTTTTANTCCATGCTCCAATATATTCTAACAGTTTTCTTTAATATTTTCCAGTTACTTTCCTGAATGTTTTGAGACGTTTTTTCTTCTTCATATATTAAAGAAGTTATCTGCAATGTTTCTAGTAGTGTTTCTCTAAAATTAGAACAGTTTGCCTTGTTATTTTTAATAGTATCCCTTCAAGTTTTACTTCATTTTTTGCATGCCTCGATAGCTGGAATCCTAAGCGAATCCTTAAATCCATATTAGTTTCTTTTGTTCTATAATGCGATTCTCGTTCACAGATGTTGCAAAGGATGTAATACGAATATCACCCATTCCTATAGCAAAACATTTAAAAATAATTTTCTACTGCATAACTGGTAATAATTATCCACACTGAAAAAAAGTGTCATCAAAATTTCTAGAATATGGTGAAATTTATGGTGTTTTTGGCACCATGGAAACACCCAAAAGCTCGATAAATTTTACCGACGTGCTTCGGTAATGATTTTGACAAAATTAAAAAATTGACAAAATAACC